GTGTCCCAACAGCTGTCAGTGAAGGTGACCACGCCCCTCAGAGAGAAACTATCCACAGAAAACTGTAAGCAGGTTTATTCCTGCTGTGAAGCTGGATGTTTTAACCTGGAGGTTTATGGGGACTCAGTTTAGGAGCAAGCCTCAAGTGGCCGTAAGAGGAACTGCAGTTTTTATCACATTCAGGCTAATCAACGCCAGCTATTTAGCTAAATCTGATTAAGCACCTTTTTCTTGGTTTACACAATTTTATGCTCATGGTTGAACACCGCACAGTTTTTGTTCTTCCTCATAAGACAATGCCTACATCCTAAATCCTAAAGGGAAAAAACATCCACCGGTATTTTAACCTAACTAGATTAGAAGAGTAGCTTCAGTCTCTGCAGGCTACTGAATTTCATTCCCTTTCAAAAGTTAAACACAGTGTAGTGATTTATACATTTGTCTACCATATGAAAGAGCCCCACTTCAGTCCATGGAGGATACACAAATCCCTTTGAGGTTGAATCAGGAAGGGAAAATCAGCCAAATCCTCTGTGGTGACTCCTTTGAAAGAGGAAGCAGCTGAAAGTAGCTTAGCTTAAATGTTGAAGCATTACTTAAATGCATGTTTCACAAGTGTAATTTACTAAATGTGGCCTGTCACAAATATTAATAAGCCCACTCTCTTTCATATAAATACATCTGGAATAGAAAACAAGCCACTGGCTGACGCTGTGCTCTCGTAGTTTAGACATAAATAAATCCATCTATCATTTCCTTTAACATGTAACATCTTTAAAATCAAGATTTCAGACAAACTTGCTAACGAAGGGAGTCAGTGCTGTGAAAATAATCTTTGCTCTGTGTGGGTCAGCTGTCACAAATATCTGGGACCAAGGTTAGAGGTGCGAGCAGCTGCTCCGTCATCCACCATACTGGGAACCAGACCTCCACCCCCAGCTCCAACCACCACCAACAACAAATATACCTCTTTCAAAACAACACGATTGAGCATTAATCAGTTTGAGCAAAGTTTGACCAAGTCGAAGAGTTCAGGTGTTATCACAAAAACTTTGAGAAGATCCTGCCTCCTGTGGTTAAATAAAAGCTCTGTACTAAAGCGGATCAGCCCATATGTGTAATAGATTACTCTGAAAGCTATTAATGTAAACATGCAGCCGAACACAAATAGAGTTCAGTTTGAATCACTGCTAGTGATCACATGATCCATCTGTGGGCTGATTATTTTCTTATTTACAAACATAAACATTTTTAACATTGTTGAATTTGATTATTAAAGCTGTGGAGCTGTAATGAGCCTCACAGCTTCTTCTCTGCAGTCTAATAGATGTTTGTTTGTGTCTGGTGGAAAAGAAAAATACATCTTAAATGATGTTGAAAACACTTTTTAACTGTATTAATTTGCTGTTGCCACTCGTGCTTTTTCACCTGAAGAAATAGGAACTTTTTTACTGTGAAATACAAGGAGGAGGCTGGTAATCTAAGCAGCTTCAGCTCTGAAATTTTATTTTTAAACCTTGACCTCTGTGCTTCTGTGAAGCTGCTCTGAGTGTGTCGCACTTCTCAAAGAAGCACAAATTTTGTCCAATAATTGTCACTCTGGAGAAAACGAGCAGCGTCTTTTCAGTTAAACGTGTAAGAGCTGCACAACACAAGCGCAGTCTACAGATTCTGATTCACCGAGTGTGCTTTTTGTTCCTTTTTGTTGTTTTTAAACTTGATTAGAGATGTGTTTTCAATCAACAGTGATTCAGGAGTGAAAAACTACTTATGAGAGGAAAAAAACTCTAATGTGCCAATTTTAAATAAAACTGTGTATTAAGTGTGAATTTATCTGCTGCCCTTTGTGACTGGATCACAGTGTGGTCTCTGTTCAGATCTTTCTGGCAGCGTTGCATTACATTTCTTGAGTCTAGGCCAGTTTATGTAACTCAGGGGCTTCCGGAGCGACTTTCCTGCCTCTGGAAAACATTCAAATTACAATCTTATAATGTAAAACCAAAACATAGTCAGCAGCTACACAACTTTCTCCTGAAAGACATTTCAGGGAGGAGACATCGGAAAGAAGTGTTTCTCCAGTCAAGCACAGTTACGTGTTTTTTGGGGAGGTTTAGGAGACGGAGAGCACCTGTCGATGAGGAGCAGCAGGACTCCTCACATCCACAGTGAACACATACAATTAACAATTATTCTCTCTGGCATAAAGAGCAGCTTAAGTCAGCAAACTTTCATTTATTAAAGTATAATTTTGAATTAATAACTCATATAATTTATATATAAATACTCCGATTATACGCTGTTTGATGCTCAGCAGGAAGTGACTGATTTTAAAGCAATTTCACCAATCAGCTGCTTACTATAGTCTGAAACATCGGCGTTATTTATTTACAACTGGTCGTTGATATGGTTTCCACGGACAGAAATAGAAACCCATCTGATTCATACCTGAATTGTTTGGGAACAACCGTCACACACGGTCTTCTCCATAGTGTGCGTGGAGAGGATATCCCTAATCTGGATTACACATAAACAACACCTTTATACAGACATCTACAGTGTCTGTGTGTAAATTCTGCCTCATTTGTTGCCGGGTAAACTTATTTATCTGGTCTCTCACAGCCTTCAGCTCTAATGTGCAAATTATAAATATTGATGTGAGAATTTCACACGTTTGTTCTTCTTCTTACAAACTAGAATCTTCTGTTTGTTTCACTTTGTTTGAAATCTTGATCACAAATTTGCCCGTGCTGGAAAATCCAATCAAACTTTTTAAACCAAGAGTCTCAAGAAAAGGCAATCAGCTCGATGTAGAAATGGTTGCATTTATAAAGTTCATCGTTAAATAAAGAAATTAGTCAATAGAGAAAAGATTCAAAGCTGCTGAGGCCTTACCTGAGCTACAGAGACAGGTGGGCTCATG